GCACACTTTGCAGGTAAGGTGATGATCACTATGTCTTGAGACCAGAAAACAGTGATACTTTTTATTCTTTATAAATCATGTCACTCCCTGCAAGGCAATAATGCCACTAAGACACAAAGGGTTACTGAGACTGAAAGAGAATGAGAAGACTTTAGTACAGCAAAAGAAAAATAAAAGGACAGGATTTGGAAAGACAGAATATTGTGATTGATGTTGCATTTAAATTTTTCAAAATTGTAGGGAAGCAAGAAACCAAAAAAAATTTCCACAAGTGAGAAGTGCAAGAAAATAGTTACATCTAGCTGTTTCAACAATAAAATAATGAGACCTAATTACCAATCTAGTAATATGCTTAAATTCATGCAGTTGGGTACCAAGGAAGAAAGTTCATTAGAACAATTGTCATGTAAATATTTATAGAAAAGACATAGGGAGGCTACATTATAGTAGTGTGAAAGTAATTGAAGTCAAGATGCCAGGTCAGGACGGATTACATTACAGACCTGTAAGCAAAGAGTGTGTTGAGATTGGGGAAAACACCTAACCAATTGCTCTCCCACCAACTAACTACGACAGTAATAGGCACAGAGGGGAAAGAGAAGGGAGGTAACAAAAATGATACTACCTCAAAAACCACAGCTACTTTAGGAACAAAGGGCCAACTTCACAAGACACTGTGTCTTGCCAACTGGTTTTCCTGTTCCTTTTATTAGCATGAGGCATTTTACAAAGACCTGGATCTTGACCAGTTGCAGAGAGGACTGTATCTAGATATGCCAAGCTGTCCCGCTGTTAACAGTGAAAACCCGGATCTTACTGATATTGACAAATATGTCCACATGTGATCTGGGGACTCTTTTGCATCTGTACTAACACACATTCAGCCACAAGACCCTTCTTTGGAATTTGTTGAGAATCTAGAGATATATAACAAAAGCAGCAGACCTGAGCCCAAGAAAGCACAATGAGTTGCTCTCCAGGCGGTTAGCATCAGCTGTTCTGATGGAGGTTCAGAGAAGGTGATTAAATGATAGCATTTTTGTTTCAGGAGGCATTAAAATTTTTCTCAAAAATAATTTCATGTATTACAAAGATGGGGCAACTACTGTAGAGCAATGGATGGTTAATCTTACAGACCACTGAGAGTATAAAAGTTCAATTATCTCAAAGTGACCCAAGATGATATCCTTGTACCAGACAAAGATGAATTGAGTAACTATTTATATCCCTATGCAAAAACCATTACATAATGAGTGATAGGTATATATCTGATGGTGTTACTCGATCCCTTCAGGAAAACAAAAGTTAATATGCATTCTAAAATTTAGTTTGGCACAAAGCCAAAACTGAGTTCCCTGTGAAGTTTGAAATTACTGACCTTTCAAATGACCCTGCTTTATTTTAGGTAACTAAGAGTTCTTTCATGATAGTTGTTGGGTAGTATAAATAGATTCAGGTGAAGTCACTACAGTTTGTTAGTATGTGCGTATTGTTGGTAATGTTACTATAAATATGTATTGCTGGTAACTTTTTATGTAAAAATGTATTGCTGGTATTTTCATTATAAAAATGTATTCTTATACTCTCATAGTGCTTTGTTTTTGTTTGGGGTTTCACTAATTGCTCATATCTGGGACCCTAAGAGGCTCTACCACTTCAGGTCAAGGTGGACCTAGAAACAATTTAGAGGTGGTTCCATGCTCTTCAAAACCTCCAATCTCCCGAACAGAGGCCTTGTTGCTGGATGTAGTTTATTGTCTTACCAAGGACTATCTGGATGACTGAATGTTGTAAGCACACTCCTGGTGCAGAGTCAGTCAGTTGTGTGCCATGCATGATAAACACTTAAGCAATCATTTATCTTTCGATACATGACTGACGAGGCAGATTTTTTTTCCTACAGTAGGTTGCCATTTCTTTCTGCAGTAGACCAGCTGCCATCCAAGGCTATAGAACCTGGTCTGTCCTGTTATTTACCCATAGCTGGGGGAGAAGAAAAGTGTTCATACATTTCCCAAGGTTATTATTAGCATGTAAGTGAATGTAATGGATTCGACTGGAATTTGAACTCGGCTCTCAGATTTCTTAATCTGAGCTGCTATCCATTACTCTGTGCAATTATATTTTTATTTTTCTCTTCAATCACACTAATAAAACTATATATTATTGTTCTATGCAGTTTTATTGTAAAATTATCAACAATGCCTTCATTATTAGGCATGTGCAAAACTTTCCAGGTGCATGGTTGTTTATAAAAGAGACAGCCAAACATGCAAATTACAGAACGGAGATAATGAAAGCAAACAAATGCAACAATTTAGATATCTGGGAAGTGTATTAACAGAGGACAGAAAATGCAACATGGAAATCCAAAGGTGTATTGGGATTGCAAAAGATGCCTTCTAAAAGCTGAACAAATTATTAAGAAACAGAAAAATACTATTACAAACAAACAAAAGAGAACTGAACTGTTATGTAGTACTAGTCCTCAGTGATTGCTGGACAATCTCCTCACAGATGAAGAAGAGACTTGAAGCAACAGAAATGTGGTTCTACAGAAGGATACTGAGAATACCATGGACCGAACATATGAGCAACATCAAAGTTCTATGTACACTGACAACAAAAAGGACACTGATAATTAACATCAAGAAGAGTTAGTTGAAATTTCTGGGGCACATAATGAGGAAAGATGACTTGGAAAATCTGATACTCACAGGACAGATTGAACATAAGAGGGCCAGAGGAACGCAACACACAACCTACCTGGTGAACTTGAGTGAATGAAAGGCAGCACAGGGTTTGCAAGAAAAAGACGAAAGTTATTAAGAGCTACAATGGACAAGAAATTGTGGAGAGCTATGCTCGCCAACATCCTCAAGGTACACAGCAAATAGAAGAAGATTGAATACAGTTGAAAGTTTTTTCACTATAAATTTTTGCACATTCTTAACAATTCATATTTAAAATATTTTTCAAACTTTCTAAATGAAAATATTCTTCAACTTATATGACAAGCTAACGATATTTACAAGATCATCAATGCAGAATAAAAAGAATGTATATGTGTGATCAAAGAATTTAATTTCCGAGCAATAAATTATGACCATTCTAACTGAAGTCTATTTTCTTCATATTACAGCTAACAATAAAATGTATTCCAAGTCAGGTCAGTATTCCATTTTCCCTAACACATTGAGAAGCCTCCTCCAAGTGAATTGTTTAGCCAGTTGGAATCTTTTCCTCATCCAAAAATGATTCGGTATCAAAATATCTAAGATTCCTGAAGACAAAAGCAATCCAGTCTAAGAAAAAAAAAAAGAAAAATTCTTCTGTTATGTCCGATAAGGAACAATGTGTCAATTTTCTTGATAGACACACAACATTATCCTTTTGTCAACAGCAGAAGGCCTAAATGGGTATAGTTTTTTTTTTTTTTTTTTTTTGGCAGAGGGAGTTGTACTATTGAGCACAGGTCCCCCCAAAACAGAACTGAATTCTATTCCAGACTTGTTTATGCAAGCCTTTCACAAGCATGTGTACAAAACTTCTTTCACCCAAAATGCCCTCCAAAGAGAGTGCCTATTATTCTGGCCTCATTCCAAAGGAGATATGCACAAGAATTTATAGCTCAGATCTTCAACTAAAAGGAAAAAAAAAAAAAAAAAAGATACATAAATAAAAATACACAATAACAAGAAAAAAAACATATATGACCTGAAGAAGGTCAAGGAAGGTATTGTCAAGAAAAAAAAAAAAAAATAAAAGATATTGATATTAGTCAAAGTAAGTCATGAAACAATGACAATAATTCATGAAATTTGAGCAGAGATCATGAGAGGAAGACAAATGGGGGTAGGAGGCGAGGGGGAAGCTTGTCTACAGTAGAAGACACCAAACACATAGACTTTCTCATTCTTAATCATTTTTACTGAGCAGACTATGGGGCTAAACAGAAGAAAACAGGATTTGGAAGATTGTAGTGCACCAATCTTACAAGGAGTAGGACCAGAAAAAATGAGATTTTTCAAATTCTGAATATTTTTGACATCAGGATCAACTGAGAAATACGCAATACTCATTTCAGAGTTTTTATTCTCCTGAAACCAAAATGGTGGACTGGCCAAATTAGCCAAAATCAAAAATACGAAATGAAGATTAAAAGAATAAAATTTTTTTCTTTTTATAGTAATCAATCCCCTAATTAATATTAAAAAATGCTCAGGTAGTTTAAAGGATACTAATTCAAAAGGTGGATTCAGGGAGCAGAGTTCAAAGTTCTTGGCTAAACCTTTGCATTCACTTTCACATGGGTCTATTTTTTTTCACCCTAGCTATGGGCTTATGTACAATACACCCAGTCTAGAAGAATGACCACTCTGAATTCAAAGCCATAGAAAATATGAGAAATTACTCTAATATCAATCCAAAGTTATGGCAATTCACAGATATGAAAGAAGAAACTGTGGAGGGCTATGATCACCTGCGTCTTGGAGCAACAAACCACAGAAGAATAATATTATCTTGTATTTTTATTAGATGAAGTATTGTCAACCATTACTAATTTTGGACTAGTGTTTCTTTCTTAATTTCAATTGCTTTATTTACACTAGTAATAGCAGTAGCCTTCAGAAAAAGCATGAATCTGTTTCTTCTCCCTTCAGCTATGGATTAAATAGTAGACTGGCATCTCTAACCTTGGTTGGCAGCTTATTCTAAGCAAAGGACATATCTGAATTCCAAGTTATGTCAAAGGCAACAGGAAACCACTATCTATTCCAAAAAGTCATGGCAATTTACAGATAAAAAGGAAGCTGTGGGGAGCCACGATTGCCTATTACTTAAAGTCACATCGTATTTAAAAAAATAATTATACGCTTAAATGATCCAATTCATTTACCCGATTTCACACAATGTTTCGATTAGGTCTGATAAAGTTGAGGAAATTTTAGTGAAGCACACATTTGATTTATTGAAGAAAAGATAAAAATAAAACTGACCAGGCAGCGGAAATTCCTGAGACAATAGCAGAGTTAGATAGCGAAAGGCATAATATTGGGGCTTTAGCTCTTGTTCTTCTAATTTACGGGCGCAGGCTGGATCCTTCTCTTTCAGCATCTGCATCAACTGTTTCATCATACTGCCTGCAAATAGAACGAAAAATCAAAAACTAAGAAAATAAGAAGAAACGCTTTGCAAAAAGAGATAACCCACAAACAAAGGCTTAAACTAGCAAGGAAAAAAAAAAACATTCTTGAAAAGGTAATCAATGTTCAATTAACGACTGGAAAATGTTCTAAAAATGATATGATACAGATAGAAATATTAATAAAATAATTTGTGATTAATCAAATTTCAATTAATCAAAAGATGTTTTCAAAAATTATCTCATGACTTCAATTTTTTTAATTATTTTTTTTTTATAAAGTTAATTTGAAACAAAAAAAAAAAAGCAAAGAAAAGAAAACTTATTTGTTCAACCTGATGTTTCAAGTTTCTATTCGACTAAGCAGAAAAAATAGACCAATTGATGCAGTTAAATAACAAAACCATATTAGTATTTAGTTACAGTTAGTACTTAACTACTAATACAAAGATTGAATAGTTTATAAAATGGTGGAGTAAGGATTATGAAATCAGGATTTCTTTCATCATTTCAATTGCTTTCTTTCCACTAGTAGTATTAGTAGTAGTAATATACTCTGCCATTTTGATTAGATGAAGCATTGTCAAGCATTCTTCATTTTGGTCTAGGATTTCTTTCATCTTCATTTCAATTGCTTTCTTTCCACTAGTAGTATTAGTAGTAGTAATATACTCTGCCATTTTGATTAGATAAAGCATTGTCAAGCATTCTTCATTTTGGTCTAGGATTTCTTTCATCTTCATTTCAATTGCTTTCTTTCCACTAGTAGTATTAGTAGTAGTAATATACTCTGCCATTTTGATTAGATAAAGCATTGTCAAGCATTCTTCATTTTGGTCTAGGATTTCTTTCATCTTCATTTCAATTACTTTCTTTCCACTAGTAGTATTAGTAGTAGTAATATTCTCTGCCATTTTGATTAGATGAATCATTGTCAAGCATTCTTCATTTTGGTCTAGGATTTCTTTCATCTTCATTTCAATTACTTTCTTTCCACTAGTAGTATTAGTAGTAGTAATATTCTCTGCCATTTTGATTAGATGAATCATTGTCAAGCATTCTTCATTTTGGTCTAGGATTTCTTTCATCTTCATTTCAATTACTTTCTTTCCACTAGTAGTATTAGTAGTAGTAATATTCTCTGCCATTTTGATTAGATGAATCATTGTCAAGCATTCTTCATTTTGGTCTAGGATTTCTTTCATCTTCATTTCAATTGCTTTCTTTCCACTAGTAGTATTAGTAGTAGTAATATACTCTGCCATTTTGATTAGATAAAGCATTGTCAAGCATTCTTCATTTTGGTCTAGGATTTCTTTCATCTTCATTTCAATTACTTTCTTTCCACTAGTAGTATTAGTAGTAGTAATATTCTCTGCCATTTTGATTAGATGAATCATTGTCAAGCATTCTTCATTTTGGTCTAGGATTTCTTTCATCTTCATTTCAATTGCTTTCTTTCCACTAGTAGTATTAGTAGTAGTAATATTCTCTGCCATTTTGATTAGATGAATCATTGTCAAGCATTCTTCATTTTGGTCTAGGATTTCTTTCATCTTCATTTCAATTGCTTTCTTTCCACTAGTAGTATTAGTAGTAGTAATATACTCTGCCATTTTGATTAGATGAAGCATTGTCAAGCATTCTTCATTTTGGTCTAGGATTTCTTTCATCTTCATTTCAATTACTTTCTTTCCACTAGTAGTATTAGTAGTAGTAATATTCTCTGCCATTTTGATTAGATAAAGCATTGTCAAGCATTCTTCATTTTGGTCTAGGATTTCTTTCATCTTCATTTCAATTACTTTCTTTCCACTAGTAGTATTAGTAGTAGTAATATTCTCTGCCATTTTGATTAGATGAATCATTGTCAAGCATTCTTCATTTTGGTCTAGGATTTCTTTCATCTTCATTTCAATTACTTTCTTTCCACTAGTAGTATTAGTAGTAGTAATATTCTCTGCCGTTTTCATTAGATGAAGCATTGTCAAACATTCTTCATTTTGGTCTAGGATTTCTTTCATCTTCATTTCAATTGCTTTCTTTTCACTAGTAGTATTAGTAGTAGTAATATACTCTGCCATTTTGATTAGATGAAGCATTGTCAAGCATTCTTCATTTTGGTCTAGGATTTCTTTCATCTTCATTTCAATTACTTTCTTTCCACTAGTAGTATTAGTAGTAGTAATATTCTCTGCCATTTTGATTAGATGAAGCATTGTCAAACATTCTTCATTTTGGTCTAGGATTTCTTTTCATCTTCATTTGAATTACTTTCTTTCCACTAGTAGTATTAGTAGTAGTAATATTCTCTGCCATTTTGATTAGATGAATCATTGTCAAGCATTCTTCATTTGGTCTAGGATTTCTTTCATCTTCATTTCAATTACTTTCTTTCCACTAGTAGTATTAGTAGTAGTAATATTCTCTGCCATTTTGATTAGATGAAGCATTGTCAAGCATTCTTCATTTTGGTCTAGGATTTCTTTCATCTTCATTTCAATTACTTTCTTTCCACTAGTAGTATTAGTAGTAGTAATATTCTCTGCCATTTTGATTAGATGAAGCATTGTCAAGCATTCTTCATTTTGGTCTAGGATTTCTTTCATCTTCATTTCAATTACTTTCTTTCCACTAGTAGTATTAGTAGTAGTAATATTCTCTGCCATTTTGATTAGATGAAGCATTGTCAAGCATTCTTCATTTTGGTCTAGGATTTCTTTCATCTTCATTTCAATTACTTTCTTTCCACTAGTAGTATTAGTAGTAGTAATATTCTCTACCATTTTGATTAGATGAATCATTGTCAAGCATTCTTCATTTTGGTCTAGGATTTCTTTCATCTTCATTTCAATTACTTTCTTTCCACTAGTAGTATTAGTAGTAGTAATATTCTCTGCCATTTTGATTAGATGAATCATTGTCAAGCATTCTTCATTTTGGTCTAGGATTTCTTTCATCTTCATTTCAATTACTTTCTTTCCACTAGTAGTATTAGTAGTAGTAATATTCTCTACCATTTTGATTAGATGAATCATTGTCAAGCATTCTTCATTTTGGTCTAGGATTTCTTTCATCTTCATTTCAATTACTTTCTTTCCACTAGTAGTATTAGTAGTAGTAATATTCTCTGCCATTTTGATTAGATGAATCATTGTCAAGCATTCTTCATTTTGGTCTAGGATTTCTTTCATCTTCATTTCAATTACTTTCTTTCCACTAGTAGTATTAGTAGTAGTAATATTCTCTGCCATTTTGATTAGATGAATCATTGTCAAGCATTCTTCATTTTGGTCTAGGATTTCTTTCATCTTCATTTCAATTACTTTCTTTCCACTAGTAGTATTAGTAGTAGTAATATTCTCTGCCATTTTGATTAGATGAAGCATTGTCAAGCATTCTTCATTTTGGTCTAGGATTTCTTTCATCTTCATTTCAATTGCTTTTTTCCACTAGTAGTATTAGTAGTAGTAATATTCTCTGCCATTTTGATTAGATGAAGCATTGTCAAGCATTCTTCATTTTGGTCTAGGATTTCTTTCATCTTCATTTCAATTACTTTCTTTCCACTAGTAGTATTAGTAGTAGTAATATTCTCTGCCATTTGGATTAGATGAAGCATTGTCAAACATTCTTCATTTTGGTCTAGGATTTCTTTCATCTTCATTTCAATTACTTTCTTTCCACTAGTAGTATTAGTAGTAGTAATATTCTCTGCCATTTTGATTAGATGAAGCATTGTCAAGCATTCTTCATTTTGGTCTAGGATTTCTTTCATCTTCATTTCATCTTCATTTCATTTTGATTAGATGAAGCTTTCAAGCATTCTTCATTTTGGTCTAGTTTCTTTCATCTTCATTTCAATTACTTTCTTTCCACTAGTAGTAGTAGTAGTAATATTCTCTGCCATTTTGATTAGATGAAGCATTGTCAAACATTCTTCATTTTGGTCTAGGATTTCTTTCATCTTCATTTCAATTGCTTTCTTTCCACTAGTAGTATTAGTAGTAGTAATATTCTCTGCCATTTTGATTAGATGAAGCATTGTCAAACATTCATTTTGGTCATTTCTTTCATCTTCATTTCAATTACTTTCTTTCCACTAGTAGTATTAGTAGTAGTAATATTCTCTGCCATTTTTGATTAGATTTGTCAAGCATTTTCATTTTTGGTCTAGGATTTCTTTCATCTTCAGTTACTTTTTCTTTCCACTAGTAGTATTAGTAGTAGTAATATTCTCTGCCATTTTGATTAGATGAAGCATTGTCAAACATTCTTCATTTTGGTCTAGGATTTCTTTCATCTTCATTTCAATTACTTTCTTTCCACTAGTAGTATTAGTAGTAGTAATATTCTCTGCCATTTTGATTAGATGAAGCATTGTCAAACATTCTTCATTTTGGTCTAGGATTTCTTTCATCTTCATTTCAATTGCTTTCTTTCCACTAGTAGTATTAGTAGTAGTAATATTCTCTGCCATTTTGATTAGATGAAGCATTGTCAAACATTCTTCATTTTGGTCTAGGATTTCTTTCATCTTCATTTCAATTGCTTTCTTTCCACTAGTAGTATTAGTAGTAGTAATATTCTCTGCCATTTTGATTAGATGAAGCATTGTCAAACATTCTTCATTTTGGTCTAGGATTTCTTTCATCTTCATTTCAATTACTTTCTTTCCACTAGTAGTATTAGTAGTAGTAATATTCTCTGCCATTTTTATTAGATGAAGCATTGTCAAACATTCTTCATTTTGGTCTAGGATTTCTTTCATCTTCATTTCAATTGCTTTCTTTCCACTAGTAGTATTAGTAGTAGTAATATACTCTGCCATTTTGATTAGATGAATCATTGTCAAGCATTCTTCATTTTGGTCTAGATTTCTTTCTTTCATTTTTGTTTAGGATTTCTTTATACTCTGCCATTTTGATCTTCATTCTTCATTTTCAATTTCTTTCATCTTTTTCTTCCACTAGTAGTATTAGTAGTAGTAATATACTC